TCCCAGCTCCCAGGCACCAGGCCAAGCCAGAACACCCGCCATTGTTCTGGATCCTTCCTTCCCTCTTGCACTCCCCCAGTCTCTGGTCCTGACTTCCAAGGAGGGTGGAACTGCTGCCTACTTGCCCATCCTTCCCCTGGCCCCCTTCTCTTCTGCTGGATGGCACCTGGCCTCTTCTCCAGGCCCCTGGTCTCCAGACTTGCCCCCTGCAGCCCACACTCCCTCTGGCAGCCAGAAGGATCTTTGTAAAGCCCACTGCCCCAGGGAACACCCTTTTGAGGTTCCTATTGTCCCCCAAAAGAAGTCAAGGTCATCCTGAGTTCACAAGGCCCTGCCTGATACCCTCACATACCTAAATTCCCCTCCCTGGCCCCTAAGTTGTCCCCTGTACTGTCTGTCCCCATGCCCAGCCTGTGGAGTGCAGCAGCTGGGGTGCTTAGAAAATGTTTACTGAGACAAATAAGGAAAGGAAGGAAGGAAGGAGGAAAGGCCTCTTTATCTAGTGGATCTCTGATGGTTTCATAGACTCACGAAGTCATTCTTCACCTAATTATCTGCTTAGGGATGTCTCTCTGGGCTGTGAGTTCTGTGATGGCGGTGATGGCATAAGTCTCTTATCTTGTGGTTTCCGGGGGCCAATCCAGGCCTGGCACAGAGCCAGGGCTTAGTAACAATGGTACAGTATCCTCTCTGCACTGAGGGGATGTGGCTGCTGGCTGCTGGCAGCCTCCTATAATCTTGGGATGTGCTGGGGGAAGGGCCACCCCCTCCCCACCCTCCCTATTTTACCTTCCCCATGGAGTTATAGAGCCTGGCTCGGAGGATGTAGATGTCAGCGTTGGTTGTGCCATACTCCACCTCCTTGGTGACAAGTGAGAGGCAGTCCTGATATCGTCTGAGGGCCAGGAGACAGGCCATGCTGAGGACAAAGGGCAGAGGTGCTGTCTACCAGAGAAGCAATTTTCAACCCTTTCCAGCTCATGGCACACATAAACTAATGACCAAAACTCTGCAGCACACCAAATATATTTTGATTTGTTCTCACTGGAAGGCTATTATTTTATTTTTAATATATTTTTATTTTTTATTTCAGAGAGGAAGGGAGAGGGAGATAGAAACATCAATGAGGAGAGAGAATTATTGATTGGCTGCCTCCTGCACACCCCATACTGGGGATGAAGCCTGCAACCCAGGCATGTGCCCTGACCTGGAATCCAACCGTGACCTCCTGCTCCTGGTTCATAGGTTGACACTCAACCACTGAGCCATGCCAGCCAGGCTGGAAGGCTATTTTTGTGTTGGCTGTTGTCATTTTTTAAATTTGACAACCTAAGGGAAAAGAGGTCAGTGCTCCTGACTAAATACTCAGGTATTGCATGTTTTAAAGATTCTTGCGGCACACCGGCTGAAAATCGCTGTGCTAGAGGCCCAGGAAGGGGCTACTGGAGAACGAGGGCTGGCAAGGACACAAATGGGCCACTCACCATCGGTAACGGAAGCTGGGTTTCTTGGGCTGGAGCTCGAAGGCTTGCGAGAAGACATTCAGGGCATCCGCGAAAGCACACTGTTCAAACAGGCACTGGCCCTGAGGACGCGAGGGACAGTCCCTTCTGCGTGCATCCCCAGCCCAGCAGCACTCATGAGAGGGGTGGGCAACGTTGGGGTGGGAGAGAAGAGAGAAGAGAGAGGCTCAGAGCTCTAGATCTGGAGAGCCTTTAAGAGTCAGAGACACAGAGATGGAAAGAGATACAGAGCTAGGGAGAGAGCCAGCACTACAGAGACACAGGAACAAAGAGACACAGAGAAAGCGTGGGAGGTGAGCCAGAACAGCAGAGCCAACAGTAGCAGGCTCCAGCCTGGCCCAGGGCTCCAGGTGCCGAGCCCTGTGTTAAGAACCTGAACTTACAGTCTCACTGGTACTAACTAGCATCCCCCTTTCAGATGAAAGAACGGAGGCTCACAGAGGTGAAGTGACTTCCCCAAGGTGGCACAGGAAGTGTTAGTACTGGACTCGGGACCCTAACAGACAGATTAAGTATGTGGTTTGGATATCCCAGCTGTTTCAAGAATTGAATAACTACTTAAAAGATATTGAAGTTGTCAAAATGGAAAAAAATAAGACTTTGTTGGTATTTATGGTTTAATATTGGTGTGTTTTTTTTAAAAATGCAAATGGGGCTGGTATTCCCTTTTAAGTGCTTAGAGTCTCTAGATTCTACGTCTGTACTGTCCAGTACTATAGCCACCAGCTTCATGTGGCTATATGAATTTAATTTAAAAGAAACACAACTTAAAAATTAGTTTCTCAGTCACAATTGCCACAAGTCGAGGGCTCAACAGTTCCCCGTGGCCAATGGCTACCAGATTGTACAGTGCCGAGCAGAGCAGGTCATTGTCATTATTGCAGAAAGTTCTATTGGACGACGTTACTAAACTTGACCAGCCCTAGTGATAAGCCCACTTGGGAGGTGGGAGAGGTCATGAGAGGGGCAGCAGGTGGGGAACAGACACAGGGCCAAGGAACTCCCCGGGAAGTCAGAACTAGTCCCAGGAACAAGGAGAGCCCCCAGAGCTGGGGGGAGGCCCAGGGGCCTGGGTGTGAGGTGTGCGCCTGGCGTGGGCCTGGGCGGCCCCAGCACCTGCAGGTAAAGCACCAAGGTGAGGCGCTTCAGGAACTGGGTGTTCTCCGGCTGGAAGGAGTGGGCCCTCCGCAGGTTCTGGACAGCCGAGGAGTAGTCGCAGAGCTGGATGTAGGCTTCGGCTCTTAAGGCGTAGAACTCGACCTGAGGGAGAGGGGACTGAGTTACCAGCGGGGACTTGGTGGCCCTGAGACCAGGGACCTGGAAGGCATGACAGTGAGGGGGAAGTGTGTGCTACAAACTGGGTGGGTCCCCCAAAACCCTCCCCCTCACCAGCTGGGGGTCCAGGTGGATGGCACGGGAGAAGAACACCACAGCTGTTTCCCAGTCTTCTCGCTCCAAGCACCAATGGCCTCGGTGGTAGCTGTGGGGGCAAGGGGCACAGGCAGAGAGGTGGCCCTGACTTGGACTAGCCCAAGGGCATACAGCTGGGACTGTGCAAGTGGGTGGGAGGCACTTGGGTGGAGAGAACAGAAGAGTAGACAGAGATTCTTGGAGCTCATCCAGGCCAGTAGCAGCCTTTGACTCACTGAGGCAGATGAGCCCTATTACACAGTTGAGTTCACTGGAGCCCAGGGAGGGAGAGTAACTGGCCCAAAGCTGCACAGCATGTCAATTACTGTGCAGAATAGAAACCAGGGACCTTGGGACAAGATAGTCACTCACTACTCCCTGACTTTGAGAGGAACTGTTATTTCAGAGACTGTTGGTTTTATTTCATCAAAGCTTCGGAACGCCTGGCTGGTCCCGAAGATGCGATTTATGGTCTCCCTTGGGAGTGGAGTCGCCCATGGCTTTGGCTCTGGCGAATCCTAGAACCAATGGACAGCAAGCTGGAGCAGGCCTCGCAGATGACCCCCACTCCACTTATACAGGCTTACCAGGTATTTTACAGGAAGGAGGAGAGGTGGGAATGAGCCCTGGTAGGAGGCACAGCCTGAGGTCTGGTGGCACCCCAGCCCCATTCCCCTGAGGGATGTTCTAACCCAGAGGTTCTCAACCTGTGGGTCACGACCCCTGCATATCAGATATTTACATTACGATTCATAACAGTAGCAACATTACAGTTATGAAGTAGCAACAAAAATAATTTTATGGTTGGGTCACAACATGAAGAACTGTATTTAAAGGGCCAGAAGGTTGAGAACCATAACCTCTCTCTCCAGTCCTGCCTCTCCCTTTCCTATGGTCAAGGCCAGGGTTTAGGATTCTCATACTCACACTGTCCTCAGCTCTCCTCCTGGTACCCCTCAGCACTCACCTCCAGCCACACCCAAAACTCTAATGCCTCCA